CTTTTACTAACGGACAGAGCTCTTCCCCCCACCACAGGACTGCAGGCTTCTCTCTGAAGGACCCAGAGTCTCCGTGTCTTCAGAACGCAAAAGGGAATTCTGGGGGCCCTGCCTCCCCCCTGCTCCCCTCCCTGGCTCTGCTCTGGAAGCCCCTGTCCTTGCTTACGCTGGCTGGGGAGGGAGGGGGGACAATGGGGAGGGCCCCAGGGACAGGGGGGTCAATTAAGATTCAGGAGTTGTTCGACGAGTTCTCGTTACTTGGTGAGCTGGAGGAAGAGGAGGAGGAGGAGGATGAGAAGTTCATCCCCGTCAGTCCTGGGGGGTTTGTGGCAGTGTTCTGTCCGCTTAAGCTTTTCCGGCACACAGGACACGTGTCATGCTTTGGAGAGCAGACAAAAACAAAACAAAACAAGGGAAACGGGATTAGAACCACGGTACGGGAGCAGCGCCCAAGGACCAGGCTGGGGGGATGCTCCCTCCTCTGACAAAGGGCTGCTTGTGCTCACCACAGGTACGAGAACATTTACAGAGGAGAAGAGTTACCACCAGAACCAGCGCCCCGCGCCGCCCCCGCCCTAACCTGCTCCAGCCAGGGCACGATGCAGCTGTTGTGGAAGAGGTGATTGCAGGGCAGCTGCCGGACGTTCTCACCCACCGTGTAGTCCTCTTTACACACGGGGCACTCTAACCCGGAATCTGTACCACGAGGGGAAAGCAAAACCCAGCAAAGGATAAAAGAGAGAACGACACCCAGCACACTCAGCTTCAGACCCCACCACCTTTTCCTCTTCTCCATCCCACTGCTCTGCAGCTCCCACCACCCCCGCCAGCTTGGCTTCATTGCTCCCTCCCCTCTCCATCTCTATGAACAGTCCCCCTCCCCGAGGCAAATCCATCCACTCTACACTGGGTTTTTTTTTGAGAGTATAAACAGAGCAATACTTCAGCTTTCTCCCTGCTTTGAAATGGTCTAGGCCTTGAAGGTAGACTGTTAAAATCCCCAGAAAAACGTTAACCAGAACTTTCACAGAGTTATTTGCACACACTTCCCCCGAGGGGACGCACATACCTACGTGTTCCTGTGCAATCTGTACAGTGGGGAGGGCCTGGATCTTTTCTTTGTCTGCTGGTGGTGGTCCAGTGTTTTCAAACTGATTTAGTAACTGCAAAAACAACAGGCCACAGTGGCAGAGGGGAGATGTGAACTCAGCAGGACACAGAATCTGCTCCATCACTGACCCAGAGTGCTTGAACCCTGCACGGCCAGCGCTGCAACCCTGGTCTCCCACGTCCACACCTCCCGTGGTTCTCCCCTGTCACAACAGCCACGTGCAGTTTTGCAGCACTGCATGAGAAGACACCTTATAAAGCCAATTATTACCTGTGTAATAATTGCACCCCACGCGTAGTCCATGGGGTTTGAATGCAAGACTCCCCTTTAAGAAGGAGGACAACAGTTAAATTCAGCAGAGAGCATGAACTAGAACAAGAACGGAAGAGTGAGCAGCACGGCCTCCAACTCACCAGGGACCCAGTCCTAGGTTTGGTATTGTGGTGGGTGCAATAATTCCATTGACCAGCTGCTGGATAATTCTGAAAGACGAGAAAACCAGGATTATGTAAGAACTGGTGCCTCCTAATGCCCAGCGTGGAAGGAGTGGCCGAATACACAAAATACTGTCACATCATCAGGGGCAAAAGGAAAAACAGCCCGGAGCTC